CGTTACATCACTAGCATCAGCAGTAGCATTAGCATTAGCATCAGCAGTAGCAGCAGCAGTAGCAGCAGCAGTAGCAGCAGCAGTAGCAGCAGCAGTAGCATCAGCAGTAGCAGCAGCAGTAGCATCAGCAGTAGCATCAGCAGTAACATCAGCAGTAGCAGCAGCAGTAACATCAGCAGTAGCATCAGCAGTAGCATCAGCAGTAGCATCAGCAGTAGCAGCAGCAGTAGCATCAGCAGTAGCATCAGCAGTAGCATCAGCAGTAGCAGCAGCAGTAACAGCAGCAGTAACATCAGCAGTAGCATCAGCAGTAGCAGCAGCAGTAGCAGCAGCAGTAACATCAGCAGTAAGCTACATTTTCTCGACCGACGTTGCCATGCGATTTAAGACTCACCGGGTTGGCGATGCCGCTGTATAATGCCACGCTCACCAGGGGGCGTTGCTGCTGTTTGATGCCACGCTCACCAGGTGGCGACGTTGCTGTTGCAGGCGTGCTCAGCTCGCTGCGCTATGTCAGCCGCACCACAACGATCCTCACCGACCCGTCGCAGCTGCCGCAGCATGCGCGCAACGACGTGCAGGGACTATCCGACCTCAGCAGCTAGCGGTCACGACGTCACCGACCCAAGGTCACGACTCTCTGACCCAAGGTCACAGCTCAACTGACCCACAGTCGCAACTCAACTGACCTGAGGTCACGACTCTGTGACCTGAGGTCACGACCCCACTGACCTGAGGTCACGGCACCTGACCGGTCGTCACTGACCTTCGGGCCAAGGTCAGACGTTTTCCAGCCACTGTCGCCGTCACACGAGCAGAGTTTGCGATCCCGTTGCCAGTGACACCCCTTGAGCCCCTGGAGCCGTGTCCGCGCACGCTAGGGGTGTGTCGAGCTGGCTAGCCAGTGCTCCGGTTGTCTTCTGTCAGCCGCACGGTCACCGTCGATCGGGGAAAATGACGCGCCAGCGTGCCGGCAGATCATCACGGGTCCCCGGATCGTGGCGTCGCCGCGGCAACGACGTTAACGTCGTTGTCGTGCGCACAAGTCTGTCACGTTGGTCGATCTTCATCGCAGCGCTCGTGCGGCGGCCGGCGGACCAGGCTATTGCTAGACTGCCGCCACTTCCAGCGAGTCTTTGAGTCAATCGCAGCCCGTAGAACTACCGAGAGCGGGAAGCGATGGAGAGATTTGCTGCTTTAACGGCGTGCGGGTCAGTCACAGACGCCGTGCGCATCACATGTGCCTCGTCGGTGATGGCTATCCGATTAAGATATCCCGAATCATATCTATTTTACGTGCACGAAGCGACTGTTTTGTACAAGTTGGCAGGGGGGGCGGGGCGGTGCAGGCGTGGGGCCAACGGGGCAGGTGTCAGGGCGGGCGGGCGGGCAGGGGGAGGCGAAGTAGGTGCATTCAGAATAACGCAGCTTGCAACACGCATGACATTCAAACGCTGGTTTGCTGTCAAATACGTTGAGCACGTGGCGCCCCCTACGACAACTCTGCGTCGGAGACAAGTAAGCGTGCGGCCGTGTCGCGGCCATTTTCCTTGCGAATGGACCGCGATTGGTGTGTGAGATGGCTAGTGAAGTTAAGGTACGAGACACACTCGAAGCTTTCATGATTTACTGCCAGCTGGGAAGACTGTAGTGTGCGTAGTTCTTGTCAGGAATACGTAACGTACAGATCTGTTTGTTATGTATTCCTGATATTATACGTAATTCTTGTCAGGAATACGTAACGGACAGATCTGTTTGTTATGTATTCTTGGTTTCGTACATAATATTTATGAGGAATACATAACGTACAGATCTGTTTGTTATGTATTCCTGATATTATACGTAATTCTTGTCAGGAATACGTAACGTACAGATCTGTTTGTTATGTATTCCTGATATCATACGTAATTCTTGTCAGGAATACGTAACGGACAGATTTGTTTGCTATGTATTCTTGGTTTCGTACATAATATTTATCAGGAATGCATAACGAACAGATCTTATGTATTCCCGGTGTCATACATAATATCAAGAGTACATAATAGGAGATTATGTACTCCTATTATATACTCTTGATAATATTGATCGGGAATGCATAACGAACAGATTTATTCGTTAGGTATTCCTGCTGCCATGCATGTTTATCCTATGCTGACGAAAACATGATGGGGCAGCATACCCTTTACTTGATCGTTTCAACTCGAAATATGTAAATATTTTTTTTAAATGCGGCATTGCGGAAGTCCCCGCGGTTGACTCGTTATCAATATTTCGTACTGATAATTAATGTGACCACTTTAAAGAAGTTATCGTATGGTTATCGATTTCATAATCGAGCCGTGTTCATTGTGACGCAGTGTTCACTTGTGACACGCAGTGTGAGGTGCGATACGCAGGCCTGGCTGGGCGGTGCGTAGGCGAGCACGCCTGTGAACCGACGAAAGCTACGGACGAGCGACGCAGTGCGTTCGTTGCAGCAGAGTGAACGCGCGGGTTTCCGCAGCGTACGCATCCTTGTTACCATGGCGACGCGACGGCTATGGTCCGCGCGGCGTCGCATGCCCTTCGTCCTCGCGTCTCGTGTTTAGATCAGTGGTTGTTCTCGCGTGACGGCCTCAGTTGCCGAACAGGATATATGTAGTAGAGTAACAGCATTCGCGTGGGTCCCCGAAAAAAAACTTAGAGAACGTTAAAGCGCTGTTTTTGAGGGAGTGAAACGTCTCGGGAAATCATTTGTGTTTTGTCCTAAAAAAACCTTTAAATTGAGCTCGTGTCCATCTTGCCTGTGCGGCAGTGAAATTTTGTCGTGCAAGAAATTTGTTTGTTAATCGTCGGTTGGACGGAACAAGATTCGCAGATTCTTTTCGGTTTACATCCCGCGGTTCTGGAACATGCCGCGGTTCTGGAGCATGGACCTTTTACGTCTTGGAGAACCTGGATGCATTTTACCGTCGGGTGTAGCAACCCCAACGTGGAGCCGTGCGTCGGTCGGTGAATTATGTCCGAGATGTGTTGCAACAATGCGCTGGTAAACTGTTACCAGTCATAGTAGAGGACATGGGAGACACGTTATTTTTTATACATTGGGACCGGGGAGCGTCGTGATGTGCTACTACTACCAGGAGTGTATAATATAGACATCTATATATGTGATATATAATACGATATCTATGGTATACACTCCTGCTACTAGTCTACTACTACCCTGCACTGCTCGGTATCTAGTAGTCAATACATAGTACTCTGTGCTAGGTACAGTATCCAATACTCTCTATATGTATATAGATACTGTATCTACTACCATGTGCTAATCGGGGTATCTAATACTCTGTGCTTATTACGGTATCTAATGCTCTGTATGTGTATATAGATACTGTGTATGGTGTAGATGCTGTATCTAGTACTCTGTAGTAGACGATACATGATAGGACGAGGGTGTGTCTTCGCAAAAGCCGAGCGAGAATCCAATACGGGTGCATCAGGGTTCAGACCGCACATGTACTGGGTCGCAACGCGCGTTTATAACTTCTTGTATTCTATTGTCATCGACTTCCGACACTTGTCTTCGTTCGAATCAAATTCGCCGTGGGCGAGACTCGCATCTCCGAAATTTTCGGTCGATTTTTCGTCGAACATCGTTGAATGTTTACGGCGGTGGCCGCACTAGTTTTGGTGCGATCTAGCATGCGGCGCGGAATCCGTCGTCATGCCGATAGGACGCAGCGATGCATGGCTCTTCACCTGCCACGCCATGACGCGGCGGTGACGTCATGCGGAATCGCGTCACTATAGAGAAGCTTGAGATGTGTATCTATTTACCTGCCGTGCGTGTATGGCGTCAATATATAAATAATAATAATGATTATAATAATAATAAAGGCGTTTGTCTTCGTCGTCATCATCGTTTATAACGGTCTCTCTGTATGACCCCACCTTCAAACACAAAATTGTTGCTCGATGACATATTCACAGGTAATTCGTTGAAAACAAACGTATGTTGTCAATACTGTAGCCAATTACGTGTGTCCCAAGTACAATACGCTAGGATGAAAACAACGGATGCAATAATTTGAAGGGATGATGTGAATTTATTCATATTTCCTCCCTATGACGACAGCATTTTGTACATTGTTTGCATAGACAAAAATTGACCGCATACAAAACGGTTACTGTACTCAATAATGCCATCCATGATTATTTTTACGAAAATAATATTTACAGAAAACACTTCCTCACATTCTTCTCTTCTCTTCTACTATTTTTTATTCCGTTCCTTTTGACGCCTTATCTTTCCTGGACGCTTCTTATTCATGTTTACCTGCAAAATGCAACGATACTTCAATACAGATTCAATAATTTCAACGATAATTTCAAAACAGAATTACATCCATCATGTCCATAGACTTTTCCCCAATTTTTTGGTCCTTCCACGCTATTTGCATAGCATATAGTTCCTCAGCAGCTGTCTTCACTCGGTAAAAATACTTGCTGTTACTCGGTTGTTAGCTTTACGTCAATAAAATACTCGTAACTGCAATATCGAAAATCGTATCACATGTTCAGCGCGTCAAAAACGGCCAGAGAACGACCGGTCGCCGTCTGTCGGGCGCGTGAGCACGTCGCGCCCGGTACGTACCATCACGCGGCCCTTCTCTCCACTCTTGGAGCGCTTGAATCCGCGTTGGTCGGCCGAGCTGTCGGCGGTGTTCCACTTCTTGCGCTTCTTCTGTCCGCCGAATCCAAACTTCTTGTTCTTGTAGTCGCGCTTCTTGTTGCTACAACGATGGAAGAAGAAGCTGCTACGTCAGCGGCTCATGTGCGAGTGAGGGACAGCCGCGGTTGTCTCCGTCACCTATAGACTCGCCCCGTCACACTTCTGCTGTGCTCCCGCAGCTTTGCTTTCCTGAGTAGGCTGTGAGGAATATCACACTCACCCTCTCCCCATGTACTGTGACAGGAATACGTCACACTCACCCTCTCCCCATGTACTGTGACAGGAA